TGGGGAAGGGACCCCGGCCGCGGGGCCAGCCCCCGCTCGCGGGAGCGGGCAGCGGCGGGAGGGAAGGCTTCGCCGCCGTCCCATTGCTCCGCTTGCAGATGTAGGGAAGCGCCGGCAGGGACTTCTGGTCCCCCAAGTCGTGTGTGGGGAGGGACAGGCTGGGCGTGACCCCACCACCACCACCGCACCGGGGCAGGGGTGTCTCTGCTCAGCCTGCGGCCCCCCAGAGCCCCGGCACGGCCGGATCCGGCCCCTCACCTCTGCTGGCCGTCATGTACACGCACTTCTTGTCCTTGTTGATGGGACGGGGCTTGCCGGGCGCCCAGGAGACGAAGTTGAGGAGGGACCCATCAGACCACCTGGGAAAGGTACCGGTGGGAGCACGAGGCCGAGCGGTGACTTGGCGAATGGGCCAGTTGCATTGCCCTAACTGGGAGCGTGCCCCACCGCTGCCGTGAGGAACCCCCATCCCAGCACCCCAGGATGAGACCCCTGAGACGGAGGCACTGAGCCACAGTGCTACGGGAGCTGGGGAGGGTGGCATGGGGACGTGCAGGGCGGTGGTGGCTCCGTCTCCGACTTACTTGAACCTCCCGTCGTTCTCGTAGGTGTGCAGCCCGATCCACCAGTGCTGCTCCTGGCCCCTGGAGAACTGCACGCCCGGAGAGGACACATCGGTGCCCCGCAGGGACTGGGTGTCCTTGGGGACAGCCATGGCCACCCTGGGCACGGGCAGCCCCCCTGCAGCTTGCACAGCGGCAAAAAGCATCACCTTGCCGAGCCCCAAACCCACACCCAAGCACCGGCAGCTGCCACGGCGCACCCCCGCGGGTGCCCGCCGCAGAGACAGGCTGTGCCCAGATAATGTCCCTCCAGCAAAGGATGGAAGAAGCTGGGGAGGGAGCAGCCCAGGGAGGCAGCGGAGCCCGGGGAGGTCCCCGTCCCGCCGGTACCTTCTTCAGGTTCTGGCCCAGGAAGCGCAGCTCGGCCTCGCCATGCACCGACGCCAGCTCAGCCTGGAACCAGCTGCAGATGCGCTGCGCCTGCACCCACGTCGAGTGGTGCTCAAAGAACTTGTACTCGGCCTCCTGGTACTTCACCCACTCTTTGCTGCCTGCAGGCAGGGACCGGTGTCACACCGGGGCTGTGCCACCCTCTGCCCAAGGCCACCAGCGCCTGCCACGCTGTCCCTCCGTCCCTCGCAGGTTGGGCTGCTTTGCTTTTGCCCCTCTCCCTCCCTCCTACGACCCCACGCAGGAGCTGTCCTCCTCCGGGTAACGCTGCAGGGATGTCCTGCGGGGACTATGACGCAGTGGCAGATGCCCGGGGAGGACAGGACGGTCTACACTGGACAGACACATGGCCATGGCCAACGCACCTTGGGTCGTGATCTCCGGCTCCTTCACGTCAGCACCTGGCGAAAGGGCAATGAGAGGCTGTCAGCGGGACGCGGGGCTGGGATGCTCCCGCTGATCACAGAATCACAGAATTTTCAGAGTTGGAAGGGCCCTCTAGAGATCACCCAGTCCCACTCCCCCGCTAAAGCAGGACTGCCCAGAGCACATCGCTCAGGACTGCATCCAGGCGGGTCCTGAACATCTCCAGAGAAGGGGACTCCCCCACCCCCTGGGCAGCCTGGGCAGTGCTCTGTCACCCCAACCGTAAAGAAGTTCTTCCGTGTGTTGGAACGGAACTTCCTCTGTTCCAACTTGTGCCCATCCCCCCTCGTCCTGTCACTGGGAACCACCGAGAAGAGTGTGGCTCCATCCTCCTTCAACCCACCCTTTAGGGACTTGTACGCCATAATAAGGTCTCCCCTCAGCCTTCTCTTCTCCAGGCTAAAGAGTCCCAGCGCTCTCAGCCTTTCCTCATACGGGACATGCTCCAATCCCTCCATCATCTTGGTTGCCCTTCGCTGGACTCTCTCCAGCAGTTCCCTGTCCCTCTTGAAC